TAAGTGTCACCTCCACACCCCTGGTTACAATGTAAGTGTCACCTCCACACCCCTGGTTACAATGTAAGTGTCACCTCCACACCCCTGGTTACAATGTAAGTGTCACCTCCACACCCCTGGTTACAATGTAAGTGTCACCTTCACACCCTTGGTTACAAACGTAAGTGTCACCTTCACACACCTGGTTACAACGTAAGTGTCACCTTCACACCCCTGGTTACAAACGTAAGTGTCACCTTCACACCCTTGGTTACAAACGTAAGTGTCACCTTCACACCCTTGGTTACACCATGTCTATTAACCTCGTAGTTTGGATTACTCACTAGAAGAGACAGCCATAGATTATCATCTTGCCCAGCCTTGGTTCGATTGGAAGTTTGGCCAGGATTTTACCAAGAGGAGTCAGCTCATCATTGGAATCTAGAGCTCGCATTTCTGAAATGTAAATAATATTACTGAAATTCTTTTTTTTTGATAGCATACATTTTACCAATCACTTCTACACAACTGTTTGTTTAAAATTCTGACATTTTAAGGCCATTATTGTGACATGATTCAAGTCTATATTATGCAATCCTAACAGAAAATAAGTTACCCCTCACCTTTGAGCAGAGCCTCAGCTTCTATGACAGCGTCAATAGGGGGCGGTTCTACAGCCTTGGCCATGAATGGACCAATGGGACCCAAGCGCAGCAGCTTGATAGACAGGGCCAACTCATGAAGAGGTGTCCTGAAGATCTCCGGGGTGGTATGCTGATCCAACCTAGAACATAGGTGAACAGTACAACCATCTATCAAAGGGCATATTTCTCTCTTCAATTCATAATAATCAGACTATATTTTTTGTTCACGCATGAAGCCTACTTGTAACACAGTCAATATGATGAATCATAAATAGTATCCATGATCCATCTTTTTTAAAACCTAACCAGAATTTTCAACTAGATTTGTTTTTGTGAACAAAAGCTTGTCTCTTCTTATCAGCCAATAAGCATATTTCAAGCATTGTTTAAGTTTCATAAAGATATCTTAAACGGT